CACACACACACCCTGCACTCGCGTTCACACTCAAACGTGAAGCTTCACTGTACACACACACAGAGAGAGAGAGGGAGAGTGGCACTCTCTGATGGCCCACACTGCACACACAGTCCCTGCTTACACACACCCGACAGGCAGAGACACACCAAGGTGTTGCTGGTGGGCTTCCACCACAAGACGTTTGAAAGCCTCTTCAGCCTTTCATTTTTGCGACTTCACAGATCTTCCAGTTGGTTGGTGGTGGTTGCGGCACTGGGGGGAGGCATTGGCCAGTGGCTACATTGTCTGGCACCTGCATTTGTACAATTGTTTAGTTTATTGTATATGAGAATGTACGTTTTAGCTTTGAGCCTTCCAAGATGCGAGAACAGCAGAAACATCTTGAGCTCTAATTTGACTCTGCTGCTCCCTTTGATTGCATAGGTGCAGAGGGATTAAAAATGTTTTCTTTGGGTGGTTCGGAAGTAATAAACATTCATACATCCTGTGATGCAGATTGCTTTGAAAACACTCTACGCCTGAAAGGTGTTCCTTATAAAAGCCTTAAATATACCAATGCCGATGAGCCCTAATCAGGCAGAAACAACTGGATGTGGCTGTGATCTCCAACCTTAACATACTCAAAGCAAAGTTAGAACACTGTTTAGATGAGGGCTGTTTAATTCTGGAGGGACTTGTACCATTTTTCTGCAGTTTTCCAAGACGACGGTAATCCAAACTATGCTGCAATTACAGTTAAAATGTATTTAGAGTCTTGAGTTCAAGCAGGGATGCCATAGGTTCTTAGTGGCCATGAATCCAGTTCAGTTTGGATTAAATCTATACAGATTGCAATATTATTTTTCATATTTTCAAGTGTTGTGGGTTTAATTTGTTATTATATAAGCTGCATATTTGTCAAAGATATCTGGAAATAGTAAGGGCTACATGAAAGAGACAGAATTGCACATGCTGTACTCCAGAGGACGAAAATGACCTCGAGCTGGTGGACTGGATATAGGACACAGTGACAGGGCTTCAGCTGTGCTCTGAAACACATTCAATGAAAAGGGTCTATGGTCAAGCAGGTGATATATGATCACAGAAAAAAATGCTACAGTATGTGATGTGTGTGTGTGTGTGTATATATATATAATGAAAGCAGCATAAACTGAACTGATCAGCAATGCACAGATACACACACACTTCTTTATAATGTACGCAGCTACTGTATATGATGCTGTGTTGTAGTGTCCTGTACAAAACTACAGCTGTATGGTGTTGTAGTGTACTGTTGTGTTGAGCACTGGAGTACTGTATGGTGCAGCATCATCATGCTGTATGATGCTTTGTTGTCTTGTGCTGCAGAATGCTACAGCTGTGTCATACTGTTGCACTGTTGTGCTGAATTGTAGTGCACTGTATACTGCAGCACTGCATTGTACGTTGTTGTATGCTTTTGTGTTTCAGGGTGACATGATTTTCAGAATCTTTTGGGTAAAGTGAAGAAAAATCCGTCTTTCGTGGAACAGAGGAAGGAGGGGCGGGAGGGGGTTGTGTGGGAGCGC